GCCGAACAATACATGAATGCATATTGTGGCGGGCTACTTTAGAAACACGTAACCATCTTTTCTTCACATGTCCTTACTTTCATGCATATTGTGGCAGACTCTTTTGAAAACATGTAACCATCCTTTCTTAATTTTCATGAAGTATGGGCAGATCTCGCGAAGAGAATACTCAAAGAAAAATTATCATCGGATTGGGACACATTGATCTCCATTCTTTCGATATCAACACGAGGCAAACTTACTTCCTTCACCATTCGGTATGTTTTTCAAACAGTGTTACATCATACTTGTGAGAAGACATGGAAAATCTTCAACACCATCAACACCATCATCGAAATAGTATTCGTAACCGTTTAGCTCAATCCGATTGCTAGGAGATGCAAGGTATGAGCAGGGGTTCCAAAAATAAGTGACAAAGAAGTGTTAGCCTAAAATCTCTTGCTAGCCTAAAATCTCTTGCTCGGTTTAGCTACGTACTCAAATTTTGTTCGAAACAATGATGCACGTGGATGTCACAACATTTTTTTTATTTGAATCCAATTTAACATTCTAAAAAAAGTAATACTATTTAAATAGCATTTCTTTCCATTATAAATGTTTACTTACATATTTGGACAAATAATTTAATGTCGTCCGAGTCCCCGTATCAGGAACTAATAACATGTATAATATTCTTTTTTTAATGAAAAACTCAAATTTTTTCAAAATATTCAGAATCTAAGTCTTCAGGTAATGGGTAAAAACTTTCACCTTATGCGTGTTAAGGTACAAAACAAATGGTCCTTGTCCGAAGAACAAGTAAAGTATGCATAACTGATTCTGAAGAGCACCACGTTGTCAGACATGCCGCATCAGATGTTGTTACTAATACGATAAAGGTAAGGCTCAACGTTTGTAGGGGTCAGATTTCTCTCCTATGAGATTGATATAACGACGAGATCAACTCTACAACGTCCTGACGAAACCGGATCAAGTTTACAAGGGTCCAGTCTGAATCTAGGCCCAAAATGACATTAAACCCATAATTAAAATGGCTTTAATTAAATTATGGACCTATATTAGATATATTGTTTAATGGGTCAAGCCCATTTTATTAGTTGGCCCATTTACTTAGTAAAACTATATATAGCTCATTGTATTCACCCAAAAAGGGGTTCAGAACTTTTGGCACATAAATTCTCTTGTAATCAAAGCTTGACAGAAACAACAATAAAGAATTCTTATTCTCAGTCTTTGTTCTAAGTGAGTACGCGACATAGAAATCTCTAACCCCCAAACACCCTTGACAAATTCAATTGTGCAGATCCGACTCCCACAGTTTGGCGCCGTCTAAGGGGACTAGAGACTTTCTGACACAAAGGAATCACTTTGCACACTAGACAGGAGAAGATGACCAGCAGCGACAACAGCAGTGGCAACAACAGCGACGACTCCTCGGCGTCACAGCCAGACAACACGACCGCTAGGGGCAGTCAGGCAGGCGACGACATTGTCGACGTCATCATGACAAATCCGGCAGTCTTGGACGAAATGAAGGACATGCTGAAGATGCTTCTCAAGAAGTCGACAGAGTATGAAGACAAGCTAAAGGTTCTTACGACGACAAGCAAGCCACGTAAGAAAATCACCAGGACAAGCGGACCGCGACGGTCACTCGGGCGGTTCAGACCGCACACCCTCAACTTCTCGACGCCGAGCACCGTGCGACGCACCCGAGGTGACCTACCTCCACCACCACCACTATGGACAGCAGACCTAACTCCGGAGCGAAACAACAGAACAAAGGACACAAGACCAGCTCCTTCAGGAAGGATCGCGCAGGAACGCCAAGCTACTTCAGGAAGGATCGCACAGGAATGCCAAGCTGCTTCAGGTGGGATCGCGCAGACGGTCGGCAGAGACAGCAATCCACGCAGGACACACAACTCAGAGAATCACAACACACCTGTAGGGAGAGATCGATCCCAGGCTCATCGGAACGACACGAACATCGAGCATGACTAGGACTTCACCGATGAAGAAGGAGGTCTCTACTGGAACGAACAGTCCGAGGTCGAACAGGAGCGCAAGGCCCTGCTCCAGACTCAGAACGACAAGATGGCCAGGACGCAAGCACAGCTTGAGCGCGCGCCACCTTCGACTTAAGAGCCGCGCAGTCCCAGATGCACCGGGTCAACAACAA